ATATGTATGTTAGGGTAATGTGTAGCTTCTGACATTGATAAGTTATGATAGTTAATAATCCCTTACCTATGTATCCCTTTGTAAATGTGTGAATAACTAAATTTAGGAGTCTTGAATTTAATGTGAAGTTAGCTTGTCTCCTATGCTAAATTGTGTTGTGTGGTCTATGCTTGGTTGTGCAGTTTTGTCCTAAGAGGGTGTCTACCCCAATTTGCTGTTGATAGACATTATGTGATCATGTTGACCAATGTACACACATACAGTCGCACATTATGCATGTTTACAATGTAGTAATGGTTCATAGTGTCTAATGAAAGGTTGATCTCATATTCACTAAATGTCAACTACTATGCATGTAAGGTACATTCATGTGAAGCATGTTATGTATTCCATTAATTAGGATGACTTGATAGGTTTACTAGTATAGGCAAGGGTATGAGACCTTATCTATACATTCCAAATGTATGCCTTGATAGAATAGTTCCTAGATTTGTCTTCCAAGTACATGAATAAGATTGTATGAACTTGTTATGAATATTACCAATATGCTGTGATGTTAAGTATATGATACGATGAAATATGACTCTGCATAGTGTCTTAAAGTGTTGATATGAAAGGATTGTTCATATAGTTACTCCTAGAGACCTATGCATTGATATATGAACATGTGTGACATTTATCTGTTAGGTGAAAGGTTTTCTTACATATAAATATACATAAACACATATCTGAAGATCTAGTCAATATAGGCACCTTGGATGGTTTTCTTAATCGTACCCTAAACTAGATAGGTGTTTACATATGTTATGTCCAAGTGAAAAGGGTTTATCATATGATAAAGGTTGATCAATTCTCATCTATGACCTATGAGCTAAGCATATGAGGAGATGACTCTCCCAAGGCTTACATTTTATAGGTAATTTTAATAAGGTATTTTAAATAAAGGGAACTTAGATTAGCACCGACTGAACTTGACCATGAGAGGTGTTAGATTCCATTTAAGTAAGATTCACTATTGGGTTCTCATAAGGTGTTGGCTTCCGTTGGAGGAACATTCACCTATGGTTCCACATGAGGTGTTGACTTTCCTTGAAGAGATTTGCCCATGGTTTCTCATGAGTTGAGGTTCCAATGATAATGAGCATGTAGAGGGTCATGTGTATCTCTTATTTCCATAAACATGCTTCCACATAGGATCTATCAAGTGATTTTACTAGTATTCTAGAATGTGTTATTGTTCTACCTTTACTAGGTAATAACACTTTGCATTGGTGTAAGTCTCTCTGACACAAAATTCCATGTAGCACCATGGTGTTAATGTCGGTTGAGGCTACAATTTCCCTAAAGTAAAATGTACAATGGATGCAAATGACTAGGACCCTAACTAGGATTACGTAAGAGAGTTTACTTTGTATAGGTGAAAGTAATGAACCCACCTAGACATTGCACAAGCAGCTCCTTAGGGTGTTATAGGATTGTGTTCATAGGTGTATGATTAAGGTATCTGTAAGACCCCTCATTACTGTAAAGTGTGTTAAATATTATATAGTTATGTCTTATGTTTAATGGACATGTCCCTAATATATTCTAATGTTGTTAAGTTTATTATATCTATGAAACATAGAGCCTAAATATGTATTATGACTTATATTTTATATATATGAAGTTAATTTTCTAGCATATGATGTGCTATGAAATGTTTTAAATTTTCCCTAAATTTACTATGATAATGTGATGAATGATAACTATGAGCTTGTATATGACGTCTGAGAGGTCAAGTATTCCATGTTACTTCTACGGCATGCTCCCCGGATGTGACAAACGTGGTATCAGAGCATGAGGTTTTTGAAAGTGGTTTAGGGTTCAAGAAGTCATATATTGCCACGTCTAGTAGAGTCTTGTATCATTGGTGGTGAGTTGCGACACAACAACTGGTACGAGAGGCTTTAGGACGATAGAGTTTCCCTTCTTCATCATTCCCATATCGTGCCATAGAACTTAACCCTCTAAGATCTATCTCTTATGTTTTCCTGTCGTGTGGTATTTTTAGATGTGATTGCTTGGATGAGATTATTCTCTATACTTGAGAGAGAAAAGGTGAGTCTAAATGCTTATATTTGTTTTATGGTTTGAATGAGTATATGTCAAGGTGAATTTAGGTATGTTTTATTCATGTGATGCAAATTATGGATATGTCTGAATTAACATGTTATATAGACAAATGTATGTCCTGATATGGTTAAAGCATGTTAGAAGTTATTATGATTTACATGAGTTTCTTATGAAATAAAGTGTTCCTATATGGTAATGCATAATGGTAGTCTTATGATATGATTTGAACCTAAAATGCTTAGTGACTAGCTATGGAATCATGCTACCGTAACAATATGTGCTTAAAGGTTCTTAATGTTTCTTTTTATATATATGTGGTCCTTGATAAGTTGCCTAGTATATCTTGGAGTTCTTTGTATAAACTGGATCCTAGTTGTGATTATAGCGTGCATTCTTATGTAGGATGAGTTGGTGAACTTTTGTATATAATATTGTCATGTTTTATCCATCAATTGCCTAAATGTTGCATTTTTGGAATTTGAAAGCATGCTCACTGTAATGCTAGGCAAATTACTATTTTATTAATAGGAGTCCAACTAAATTGTTCTTAGATTAGAAGTTGTTGAAATGCATATAGAATTGATTCATATGAACATTATAATGAATGTAAAAGGAGATTTGTTATTTGTAATGAAGAATGAGAGTCTTATGGAATGACGAGTTGTAGAATTGTTTCTAACCTTTTTATTACTTTTTGAGTCCCTTGATGTTGTGGAATTTACATTTACCAAGAATTGAGGGTAGAACTTTTATCTATGTAAGGTGATGATATGGGTTTGATTGATCTATAAGTTACCTTACATTAGGGTTGAAAGAAAGGAAAGAGTCCTTAAGCCTAAGTAACTTCTGTTGTTTCCCCTAAAGATGTATGACATTTGTGTCTATTGTATTGTTTCAACCCAAAGAGTCCTTAAGCCTAAGTAACTTCTGTTGTTTCCCCTAAATATGTATGACATTTGTGTCTATTGTATTGTATAAAGACCTTATGCGGTTAAATGGTATGACCTAAATTGATAATTGGAGGATAATTTGCCTACATATATAAGGTTTAGAATGCCTTCGTTGAAAACTGAAATTCCTTTTAATGTTATAATAACTTTAAATGATGAATATGAAGGTTTTTAAGTTAAGATCCTCTTAATATTGGGTTTATTTGCTCTTAATTGGGTTTACCCTTAGTGGGGGGTTGTGATGGAGTAGTAAGGTTGTAGATATTATTTTACCTTGTCCTTCTATTCATACTTGAGCTTGAATGTAAAGAATTTTTAGTAAGCTTGTTCATGAATTGAGTTTTGCATAATGTATAAATCGCATGAGCTTTATATGTTTTTGATGTATTAATTCACATTACTTTAAGGATATATTAAGATTCCAAAGTGCATGAAAGAATTTTTTTGATAAAATCCATCTTTTCTAATATTGATTTGCATCTTGATATGCTAGTTGTGAATAAACTTCATGAGGTGAGATAGAAAATATGGTAGAAGTCAATTGAGAGGTGTAATGTTGAGCCTTATAATGAAAATTTGAGTCTCTTTAAAATAAACTATTTTTAGTCTCTTCAATAATGATGTGACTTGTATGGTTTGGGAACCATGATTGTAGGCTCATATTTGAAAAGTCAAAGCATGTTTAGATAAGTGTTAATGTGTGTACCTCTGATGTGTGTTATTCTTCTTAAAATATGCTTACTCTGAAGGTGAGTACTATGTTACAAATTGACATTTTTTAAAAATTACTTCCTAATTGTTCTAAGGTGCTTGGTGTGACTTACCATTTTGGCTTCACTAGGTAGGAAACATGAGCATTCCTTGGTTTAAAAAGATGAAAACTTCTCATTTGAAAAGGGAATTGACCTTGTACTTTGCTTAGGTGTGAACTCATGATACATGTAAGTGTGTTGAGGAGAAGGACCTTCCTTTATGGACACCACTAAGCATGGTATTGTTGGGTATGACATAAAGAAGGTTGCATGATGAGAGCCTTTGAGTTTAATGCATTAATGAGTGAGCGAATGGAAGTTTTGCTTGCTTGTGTGCATTAAGTGATAAAATAATTTGAACTTGTGTTCTTTATAAGTGGTTCATTTACTTATATTCAATGTTATAATATTATTAATGTAATGAAAGTCTATATGATTCATTAAAATAATAGTTGTGATTAAATCAATGTAAGTGTCATTTGTGGATGAATGTTTTAAATTAGTGGATATTGTACGACCCCCAAAATGAGCTAGGGTGTCTGTATGCAACATGTTTGTATTAAGGTTATAAAGTCCTAAAATTAATTATAATATTGATTAGAGGCAGTTTTTTAAAGTTTTAGGTGATTTGGAAGTCAAATATCAAGGGACGACCAAGATGTTCAACGACTAGTCGCCTATGTGCCTCCTATGCCTATATGTGTATGTTATGAGCTTAAGAAGTCATGAAATTAGTTATAATTATATTTAATTGTATTATATGAAGTTTCTTGAAGTTTGGAGTGAAACGTCCAAGACTTTCTAAAGATAGCCCTTAAGACGATAAATGTGTGTCTTGATGGGGCCTATCCTGTTTGGACGTGTTACGTGCATTTGTTTTGGGTTAAACTGAGGTGGGAGGTATAAAAAAATTAAAGGTTTGTATTTACGTTGGAAACATCAGGGTACAACTTCTAAAGGGCCTCGAAAAAGGGCCCACAAAAAGGACCCAAGAGTGGTTGAGACATTGCCTTGACATAGTCAATCGACCGAACCAAATGATGGTCATTTTGTTGAACAATGGCCCGTTTATGAGGTTTATTCGATGTACACTTATCCTTAGCAGGTATCAACAAAAAAATAGGCCAAGGTCCAATCAACAAAAGCCAAAGCATGGCCAGTCGATTCACCAATGACCTGTCGATGGTGGTCCGTCTATGGTAGCATGCAGTTGTTCTTTGCGTATTGCTTTATGTAAGGGGTGAATGGGGAATTACCCCACATTCTAAAATGACTATAATTGATTAATTTTACCTATTTTTGTTGCATATAAGTAGTCTAAAACGTGACCAACCCATTCTCCATTCCATTTACTCAAATTGAACCTTCCCTTCAAAACAAATTATTTCTAGAAACCTCCATTGTTTTTTGATCTAAAGAACAGCTTGTAGATTGGATTCTCATATTTTATTCATAAATTTTTAAGTTTTCTAATGAATATAAAGGTATGGTAGTCCTTCATCACTATTTATCCTTCCATATAGAGAGTTAATCTAAAAGTTTTCAAAGATAAAATATTCACAAATCTCTTCTTCTTCAATCTATATATAGTTTCCTCTTCAATATTTCTTAAATGTTTAAATCATGATTAATTGATGTTATTGTATTGTTTTGAACGTGATTTTAATCCAATTGAATGATGAACCCGTGTTCCCTCCCTAAATCGATTTAATCCTTGCATGGGCTTTGTGATCTTTGTTTGTCATCAAATGATTTGTAACTCTATTACATTGAAGTGTTTATAAATTATGTTATTTATGTGAATTTATGTTTAATTAATGATGAAGAATCAATGTATGTATGTTTGAACATGCCTTGTCTAATTATCAATGGGATCACTGTAATGTGGGTTCTTAATTGTACAAATGTGGATTCAATAATTTTAAGTTGTTTGTGTCTACCATTTTAGTCTAATATGATGCTTGAATTATTGATATGAATATTGTACGATTAAAGTAAAAAAGGATTATATGAATTGAAATAGGTTCTTCTAGTCTATGAAATTGTAACTTGTGATCTTGACGTTAAGTTAGTTGTTATATGAACCGATCATGATTAATTGTATATAGATGCTTCCAATGATGTAATATGATCATGAATTGTATGTAAAAGATCTAATGTGCATCAATGAATGATAGTTGAATAGGATTAACCTATGTGGATGTATGTTCCATGATGTGAATTCAACATTATATGAAATTGTTTTAGGATTTCATTTAGGTTATGAGTTATTTGGATACTGATCTACATGTAAATTATTGATGAATTTTGATTGATAAAAATGACTAGGGGAGGTTGATTGATGATCTATGCTTTTCTATTCTCTAGAACTATGGTAATATTTTGCACTAGTTGTGTCATGATCTTTTAGCGACTTGTATATGGTTTCTCTCTTGTTTAAAGTACAATTAGTGAATTTCCTGTACAATATTGATCATATGGTTTGATGAATTTGTAAGGTCTAGTCTTCCTCACTACTTTTGTATATAATGTTGATGAAGCCTTGTATGGATTTGTGTGGTATTGTCCACTTATTCTTGTGGTGTTTACTTTATTGCCATTATATATGTTTTCACAATGACCTTTAATGAAAATTGATGATTAAATGAACGAGTGGTTATGATGATAACCTTATGTGGAACTTGTGCCTAGTCTTCTTCTCTAGTGGTGAATCTAGGTGATGTCACTATTGTATGAGCATATAAACGGTTATGTAAGGGATATATGCAATTGCTGCCTTTGATGAGGTTCTATAATTCTATATGTGATATAAAGATAAGATAACTACATAAAGACTAAAGTTTACTGTAAGAATGTTGTAAGTCTTAAATAAATAAGTCTTATGTTATGTTAACTATTCAATAATGTTGTGTGATGTATCATTCACTAGGATGACTTGATAGATGAACTAGCATAGGCAATGATATGGGAATTATAAAATTCTGCTCAAGTGTATCCAAAACTAGATAATTCAAATATATATGCTATGTCCATGTGAAAGGATCTTCCACATGATTTAGGTTGATGAAATTTCATTTATGGCCTATGATCTAGCATGTGAGGGGATGAATCTCCTAAGACTATATTTTATAAAGTTATGTCTTAATGGACTTTCAATAAAGGGAAATTAGCTTAGCGCCGAGTGAACTCAATAGTAGTCTGTATCCCTTCTCAATTGGGTAAGGTAGGTCACCATAAACCTCTTGGGGTAAACAACCTCATGACCAAAAAGGGTGGTAGTGTGATGTTTCAATTTGTGAACAACCATAATAACCCATATTGGCTTAAATAGGGTTTTCACATTTTCCCCCATGTTTCATAAACTATGCTTGCCACATAGGATCTATCAAGTGATATCACCTAAGATGCTAGTATGATACTCATGTCTTACCTTTGAGAGTAACATGCCCTCTTTTTTGTGTGAAAAGACAACACCTAATTACATGTTTAGCACCAATGGATTTAGGGTCGGTTAAGGCTATAGTTTCCCTTAAGTAAAATGGACATGGAAGAAAAAGAATAAGATACTTACTAGGAGGACTTAAGGGAGGTTACTTCTTATAGGTGGAAATAATGAACCCATCTAGACATTACAAAAGTAACTCCTTAGGAAATATTTGAAAGGTGACCAAATGTATATGATTATGCTTATGTGCTTATGCATGAAATTGTAGTATGTATCTACTTATTGTGTAAGTGTGCATGGTATGAACCTATGAGATGCGATCTTATCCTTATATGGACTATGTTGGTGTAAATGACTATATGATGAAGGTCTTGTACTGAAACAAATGAAGTTTTCTTCACTTACTTTTTGATGTATGAAATGAATGTTAAGGTTCGTGGTCTCATGAAGGGTTTACTAAGCATGTGTGGCGTTATGGGTCTTCACATGTGCATTTCACTAGTAGAATATGATTGGCGTCATGAACAAGGTCTAATAAATATGTATATGAAAAAAATTAAAAATATGTAAAAAAATTGGAGTAGCTTACTGTAATGTTTCTAAGCAGTCTTGACTTTAATGTATCTTTGATGTATTATGCTTATATGGGGAAATTTTTTGGTTTATTTTTGTTGTAGTTATTCTTTCTTTGTGACCATAAGATAATGCATTGCACAAAGTGTCATTAGGGGGTTACATGAGAGGTTAATGAATAAACGAATAAAATCATCACTGTTAAGGGAAATTAGTTCACTGTGGAGTGACTTCAATTAGGTCATAAATTGTATATGTGATCTTATGTGATGTTTGGACTTTAATTTTTCAATATGAAGTATGTGAATGATATAACTGTTACTTTCTAATGGTTTTATAAAGATTGACTAAAAAAGGCATGAAGTATGATTTCAAGAAAATGTCCCTTTTAAATGTGTAAGACTCCGAAAATTATTTATGTAAAGCAAGAGCCTAACGTGGTTGAAATGGTTATATAATGTCCTAATTTTGTATATAATATGGCATAGAGGAATTATCTTAGATTTTTGATGCATTGGAAGTCAAACATCAAAGGACAACCAAGATGTTTGACGACTAGTCACCTAAGTACTTCATATGTGGTTTTATGTTTTGTAGGTAATTAATGATCTTATCTTGTTCTTGAATGAGTCTATATGGTGTTGAAATTTAGTGTGTCAAGTTTTGTGATGTATGGAGGTCAAACATCCATGACGTTCGAAAGGTTTTTCTTGAAATGACCTTGTGTATCTATGTATGTTTCGTTGAGTTTTACGTGTTCGTTTTGAAAAAAACTCATGTGATAGATCCTAAACTCATTGACGATCTTATTTGGGTTGTAAAAGTCCGTGAAAACATCCCCAAGGACCAACAAAGGGTCTTTGAGGAAAGACTAAAACTTGTTGTCAAGACTTTCCGGGGTAGGCCCAAGCTACGGAGGCATCGACGGCTCGTGGGACTATCGACGCCCTGTCGATGTGTTTCGTCTTTAGGGAATCAGTCTTGAGTTATTATGGGAGCCTTGAAAAGCGTCTGAATGGATCGACTGTTGCCAACATGGTCCCTGTATGGGCATACGCCCCGTCGAAGGTTAATATATTGGGCAGTTTTCTGCCAACTTTCTGTAAAGTTAGCGGTGATGTTGGGATTTCACCCCATATTTTAAAAATAAGAGGACTATTATTTTCGTTTTTTATGGGCATTTTAAGAGTATATAAGTCACTAAACTCTCATTATAACCCTAACACCTGAATGAAAACACTTTCCCTCCTTATGTGTCTCAAAAAACCTCCATGTGAATTAAAAGTGAAGATGAAGCTTGAAGTTGGGTCTTCAATGGAGTTTATTATTTAATTAGATTTGTATTATTCAAATAAGGTATGGTAGTTCTTCATCTAAGGATTTCTATCACCTTTGAGCCAATTTCAATGATGATTTTCAAAGATTTCAAAAAGATCAAGAAGTTTAATTTCTACTCTAGGTCATTGGTTCTAGAATAAATGGTTTCCAAATGTTAAGATATGATGTTATTAATTTTTAATTGATATTTTCAAATTAAATTCTCCATGAACCCTTGATCTTCTCAAATATCTAAATTTCACAAAAATATGGGTGAATTGATTATGCTTTGATATTCATGAATTCATGTGTAGATTGTTATGGGCTTTTGATTCTTGTATAGATTATGTATGTATGGTATATAGGCTGTTTCAATTTGATTAATTGAGTAATGGATTATCATAGATCTGTTACATGCTAAGCATATTTAATTGATATTGAATTAATTCTTATAATTTCTAATATAATTTTCTATGGGCTTTATAATTATGCAATAATTATATTCAATATATATCGAGGTTGTATTATATTGATAAATATGTAATGAATTAACCTACATTTATTAATTATTGATATAATTGTATTGAGTTGTTTATTATGGCCTTGGGTAAGGTCATTGCACTATCAAATTGGATGATTTAGACTTGAAATTGAAGTTGTAATTTGGAGTGGGGTATGCTGCCCTAATTCCTTTTTTTTGATGTTAGTTATACTTCAATTATGTTGTGATTTGTATGATCCACTTGTGGTGGCAGTGTTAAGTGCTTTACTTGCAATTGATGTGGCCTTGTCGGCATAACCTTATGCAATACGATGATCATGGCCTTGTCGGCACTACTTTAAGTACTATGATATTTTTTATAGTTATATATTGTGAAATATGAGTATATATATCTATATGTTAAGGAATATGAAAGTATGTGTTCTTGTTATGTATGTTAGGAAATCACGTAAATTATGACTATGTGTTTCTATGTGTAGTCTTAAGGTTGATGCATGGTTGTTCATACTTGTCTATATGAGTCTATAATAGTTATATTGTGGATGATATGGCAGTGTGTACGATTACTTTAAGATGATAATGGTTGTTCCTATGTGCTTATAGAATGACTATTAATATGTGTTAAGGTGAAGTATGTGGTGTCTTGTCATGGTTGACTTGTGTCCCTTACTTGTTGCTTGTATGAACATGAATATGTGATGTATTGACTTAGGGTGATATAGTCTCTTAGTATTGAATGTATGAAAGATATGTGACCTTGAATGATGTTAAGAGGGTCTTTTATGTGAATCCTTGAACCTAGTCATAAGGTTATGTATGTTGAACTCGAAAGCTGTAATGGTTTCCTTCAAAATAAAGGATGATGGACTGAAGGTTGATTTGATGGAACGGGCATCATACCAAACCATAGGAAAATCATACTGAGATTCTGGTTGCCATTTTGAAGGTAGCCCTAAGAAGACCTTTTTGCTAGGGTAAATTTAATTGGGTTATCAACTTGTTATGGAACCCTCTTATGTGATTTTTTAATGTGAATTACTCTATGAGAATGAAGGCTAGAACAAAGTGAGTATAGTAACAGAAGTGGTCCTAGTTATGTTTGAGACTGAAATACAAAGCACACCCTTCATATTTCTTAACCATGTGCATATATGGGATTTATCCTAGTTCTACCCTTGGAAAGTAGACCAGTCTCATCGGAGTAGGTTAGAACTCAGGATTCCATGAGTTGCTAACATGATCTGTGTTGGTTAATGCCTATTCTCTTCATATGGGATACTTACAAGCATTAAAGAAGTTCTATACAGTTTAGGTGGTGGTTTAGGACGTTCTCTAGCCATTCCACAATAGGCTTTGAAAACGTTTTTTGGAGACCCTAGGTCTTGTATAAGACCATTACTTGAATGTCCTTTATGTGATGAATTTTTCTGAATGAAATAATTAATAAAATTACTCAAGCTACGGAAGTATGTTAAAATGAAGTGGTACTTATCTAGAGTAATTGAGGATTGTCTAGTTAAGGTGTAAAGAGGGCATAAGAATGGTCACTTCTTATCTTACGTAGATAAGTCTTAAGAATTACTCTAGTTTGGGAAGTTGGTTGATTATGTGGACATGATCGACGCCTTAGGTAATCTTAAGGATTATTTAGGTAATCTTTAAGAGGTAACTATGGATTTTCTCTTCTTGATTTACTTAAGTAAGTCTTTTGATAGAGTTTAGAAAGAGAATATCGTATCACCTATATGCTAATGTTTTAAATGAGAATTATTCTAACATAGGTAGTCTATACGATTTGTTAAGTGTGTGTGTAAGGAATTGTATGGGCGGTTTCTTCACAACTCGCATAAGTGAACCTAAGAGTCACCTTGGTAGGAAAAATCTCATTTTCTAATGTTGATATCTCTTAAATGTGTATGTGACTCATTATAAGTAATCTGGAGGGTCTTTTCGGCACATCTATTGAAGGTGTATGGGCCGTCTCTCTTTGTGTTACATATGTGAAACTTAGGATAGCTTTGCGTGAGAAGATTACAAGCTAAAAGGTGTCTAAAGTGAAGTGGAGGAACTAAAGTGTAAGAGTGAATTGACTTCACTGTAGTGTTTGCTAAAAATGTGAATTTTTGTTAAATGATTTCTTATGTATTTCTAAGTTTTTAGGTATAGTTCTTATGATTATAATATGAGATTTTATTCGAAATTTATTAAAAGATTGTTATATACTAAATGTCCCTTTTCATGATTTTTGCATGGATTCCATACATAGTACATTTAATGTGCTAACCCCTTCTTTTTATTATTGACTAAAATGTAGGGAAATGTAATATTGATGTGCCATAAAGAATGGATAGGTTTCTAAGGCTTGAATATGAAGTATTGGTAAGTCCTCATCAATTTCAGGACAATAGCAACATGTTCCTTTACGTCTTAAGTCTTTATTTCATGTTTTATTAGGTATTAGTCCCAGTATTGTAAAGTCTAAAGACTAGATGGTTCAATAAGATGTTGTATATATAGTTGTAATTTTAAATGAAAGTTTTCCTCTTGCGTATTGATTTTTAAAGGGTTCTTCGTGTGTGAAGAAAGTTTTAAATTTTTATTCTTTTTAGTTATGTTTATTATGCAATGAATTATACGAGTGACTTAGATTAGTCTTCTTGAAGTTTCATTTCCCGTGTGACATCGCAAGGATACTCTAACTTCTAGGGTGTACTTGTGGGAAGTGACAAAATGCATGTTATTGCATGGTTGCCATACATTGTGCATTTATGTACAAATATCATTCTACTCAATTTTTTGCACAAATTGTAGGTTATGGATGCATAAAGGATGTTTTAAACTGTGAGGAGCTTGATAGATAATACCCAAGATCATTCCAAGGAATCCTTAAGTCCAAGGATGTACTTATATTTTTTCTTATTTTAGTGTGTATTAAATATTTTTTAGTTATGACTTATGTTTTGAGGATTGTGTCCCGAATGTGTTTTAATTTTGCTGATTCTAAGATGACAAAGAGATTTAGAGTCTAAACATATATTATGACTTATATTTTATATACGCGAAGTTAAGTTTCTAGCATATAATATGCCACGAAAAGTTTTATTTGTTCCGCTAAATTTACTATGATAATGCAATGAATGATAACTATGGGCTTGTATATGACCTCCAAGAGATCAAGTAATCCATGTTACTTCTTAGGGTGCTCCCTAGATATGAAAGTTATGTCTTTATGTAGGGCATGGTAGTGTTTGTCTACTTGTAATAAAGATGTGCATGGTATGAGCCTATATGGTGTGATATTGTTATCATATGCATAATGTTCGTCTTAATGAATATATAACGAAGGTCTTGCATGGCATGAATGAGGTTGTCTATGTTTTCTTTATTAATCTGGGAATTTCATGTTAAGGCTTGTGTCTTATGATAGGTTTACTAAATATGTGTGACGTTATGGAGATTCACATGTACATTGGACTAGTAGACTTAGAATAGGATTGTGGGAAAAGACATATGTTAAGCCTAGTGTGAAGTGTGTGCCTTGTTATATGAAATGGTCCTATGGTTGAATTGTTGAGTTGAAAGGATTGTATATATGACTTCTTTGAGGCTTTATGGTGATGCATTGAACCAAAAGTCACTACAGTGTTACTTCGGGGAATATGGAATAAAGAAGAAAAGAGTTCACTGTAAATAACGAATGTTCTCACAGTAATGTGACTCTAAAATGTCTTAAATGCATTGAATGATTAAATATTATGTTTGGCCATGAAAAATGTTTATATGATGTATGAAAATGCTATAATGCTTACTGTATGAAGGGTTTATGAATATTTTCTCAACAAGGCATGAAATATGATTTCATGTTAAATATCCGTTTTAAATGCATGTTTCTTCATGGTTGTCAAACATGGTGCATTCTTGTATTTACTCCTTTTTTCTCTACCTTTTTTCACAAAGTGTAGGCCGTGGATGCTTTAAGGATGTATTTAGATGATGACGAGCTTGATATGTTATTCCCAAGCTCAAGGAATGGAGTCCATAAGTCCAAGGATATGCAAAGTCTTACTTTACTGTAAAATCATGTAATAGTTTACTATGTTTTATGCTGTAAGAACCATGTCCCTAAGTATTCTAATAATGTTGAGTCTAATTTGACAAAAGATACTACAGTCTTAAACTACAGTCTTAAACTGAATATTTAATTTATGTATATATATATAAATTAATGTTCTAGCATATGATGTGCTAAGACAATTTTAAATATTTAGCTATATTTACCTATGACAATGTGACGAATAATGACTATCAGCTTGTATAAGACCTCCGAGAGGTAAAATATGCCCTATTACTTCTAGGGGTGCTCCCGGGATATAAAAAAATGTTGCATAAGAGCATGAGGTTTATGAAAGTGGTTTTAGGTTCTAAAAGTCTCATATTACCATGTCTAGTAGAGTCTCGATCATCGGTGTGAGTAGCAACACATCTATGAACAAGAGGCTATAGGACGATTGAGTTTCCCTTCTTTATCATTCTCATGTCGTTCCATAGAACTTTATTTAACAAGATCTCTTTCTTATGTTTTCTTTTCTAGTGGTCTTTTAGATTATATTGTTTGGATGAGATGGCATCTTTAATCATGATGGATAAAAGGTGAGTTTTGGTGTTTATCTTTGTTTTATGGTTTCATGAATATGTGTAAAGGTGAACTTTGATATGATATGATGATATGATTTCTGTTGTTTCTCTCTCTCTCTCTCTCTCTCTATATATATATATATATATATATATATATAATAGAGAA